GGGGGGGGGGGGGGGTCGGAATGATAATGAAGCACCAGCCAGTGAGAAGCGGCGCATCCCTCCGCGAAGAATCACAGGCTGGCAAGTCGCACCTCGAGATGGGTGGCAGGCTGTGCTCTCATCAGAGGACAAAAAAAATAAAAAGCTAATTTCTCTCACCCCTTTTCAAAATCCCTGAAGCTGAGACCCTGGAAGTTAAAACCTGGCACAGAATCGGGCCAGAACCCAGTGCTCTCCACCTATTGACAAGGGTATAGGAATCAATATAAGGAGCTCAGATTTTTGCTGAGAGGCTACTGTGAGCACTCCAGTAGGATTCCTAGCAACAGGTCTGGGAGAATGAGGCTGGAATTAAGGTGAGCAGCATGCTATTCTACATCACGCAGCACGTTTCCAAGGGTCTGTAAACATGTTTATAGTCTGGGGCTGTTTGTCTTAAATTGTGCTGCCTTAATTACGAGTCTTTATTCCTGTGTCACTATCATCTCTAGCTTGATAGCAACAGGTACAGACAGCTTCTTCCTGCTTGTCGTGTTTGTGAATAATTTTTTGGGGTTTTTTTTTTGCCAGGTGTTAAATTAGTTGGACATTTAATTTCATGCTAAAAATAGTACGATAAGCTAGAATGAAAGACATTTATGTTCAAAATGTTATTTAGCAAGAAATGCCTGTGTTGGTATGTGTTAATGTTCTTAGTTTTAATTTGCACTGTATTAAACACACATTTCTCTCTCGCTCTCTCTGTTTAATGCAATACACACATATTGCATTAAATTGAAAAATATACATAACAAATACGTGAAGATCAGTATCCATTTTAAAGCTAAACACTGTATGATGTGTAATCTAGGAGAGAAGAAATTATTTTTTCTTCTGTTATTTTTGTTTGTAAAGAAAAAAAACATGCATAGTCCATAAGAATTCATTTTCCTGTTCATCACTGACGTCTCCCCATCCGATACGTTTATTCTCTGAACGACCGTCATTAATCGCAGCTTTCTCTTCTCCCATCCCAGCTTATTTACCAGCAAGCTGGACCTAACATGAGCGGGATACAGAAATATGGCTCTCATCATGTGTAACGTCCACTTCAACCACTCCCTGGCGGCCATGAACGGGGACGACATCGCGGGTCACCCGCTAAGCCTGGAGCAGAAGACGGCGTTCGCCCTCGTCGGCATGCTGCTGGTCTTCCTGGGGCTGCTGATTGTCAGGTGCTTCAGGATCCTGCTGGACCCCTACAGCAGCATGCCCTCCTCCACTTGGGCAGATGGCGTGGAGGGGCTGGAAAAAGGAACCTTCGAGTACGCCTTGGCCTGAGTCATACGGATCAATTGCAATTTAGACAGAAACCAGAAAAAAATATTATATATATATATATATATATATATATGTCACTTTCTTGTGCTCTGGGTTGGTTTTTAACCAAGGCTGGGTCCGTCCATCTGTGATCACCCGGGAACTTGAGTATTTTGTTATGCTGCTCTGGCTCAGGTTTATTGTGCTGGAAATTTGAAGGATGGATGGGAGTCTCAGGGAAAACAAATAGATCTATTAAGAAAGAAAAATAATAGGAAAAGCATGAAATGAATTGCGGGTCGCGCCTTGTTTTCAATTTCACATGATCACGGACGGACGCCACAAGCGAGCAGCGTGGAGACCTGCTTTTTGCCGTCTGGTGAGGATGCAGGTTGTTCCCAAACAATGTAATGTACTGCAGTTTATCCCAGTAGCCTCACCGAGGGGCCCTGGCTGTGGGTTTCCCCTTGGGTGAGAGACAGTGGCTTGAGTCCCATCACGAACTGCCCCCTCTGGACTCCCATGATGCACCTGGAGCAATTAAATATCACTGGGGCAAGAAGTCCGGCTCAAAATGACTCACCGATTTCTACGGATATGTGACAGTTTAAAGAAAATTTGTAAAGCATCAGTTTCTTTAAGCTTTAAATAAATCAAAACTTTTTTTAGGAGAAAGGTTTTCTGTAGAAGTCAAAGTTAGTGCCAACTTAGTCCTGTTTCAGAGTGACACAGTGATAAACCACTCCATCTGGGCCAAAATAGTCTTATGAATCTTAATTCATAAATGGAGATGAAAAGGACAAAAGAAAAACAGATGGTCCTTCATTGTCTGAGATCCACTGGGCACCCAGAGGTACCCTGCCACCTGAGAGATGCCACGTACCATTTGCAAATGTATGTATTCTGTGAATTTGCCTTACTATAACCTTGAATGGGTTACTGTGCCTTCAATTGGGGTGTCAGTGCTTTCCAAAGAGACGGAGTACTAGGTGTGTGTCTGTGTCTGCCTGTCTGTGTGTGTGCAGTCTGTGATGATTAATCGGTATTCCCTCCTAAGGCATGGCTAAAAAGCCTATGAGCACCAAGAAGGAGGTGGTTGAGAGGAAAGGACGGGAGAAGGTCATATCAGTGGTATTCTCAGTTGAATAAAATGTCCTCTTGCTTAAAAATTTCCATCAGCACTACGCCTGGTTCTTCGGTTCTCAGAAAAGACAAGCAACAATAGCGGCAAGCTAATATGTGAGCGAAGCAGGGGGATTGGGATCTGGGAGTCTAAGCACTGAACGGGCTGGTGGCTCACAAAGAAGTCGGTGGCGGCCCACAGGCCAGCTCTGCTGTCTAAACTCAGCACGTGCCCTGCATGTACACCCCCCCTCGCACAGCGCACACACACACAAACATGCGTGACATCACTCCAACACAGACAACATCACACAAACACGCATTACGTCATCCAAAGGCTACACCACCCCTCTGGGAAGCCATCGTGTGAATTACAACATGACGCATCTTTGTGTAGCTCAGAGACGCCCACATGCACAAAAACACATAAACAGCATTTTGGATAAACAGTTTGTGTGACAAAGTAAACAGGGATTTTGTACAGCTTCTTTCCTGCTTTAAAGTAGCAACAAAAAAAACAATTTCCTTTTTTCCATTTAATTTTTCTCTTAATTGTGTTAAAGTAGGACGACACAAAGAATGATACAAATACGTGAAGATCTGTCATGTGTGTAACATGCAGATATTTCTGCTCTACTGGCCATTGACATCCATGATTATCGTCAGATGTATTTTAATCATTTTAATTGCCTCACCTGTTGCTGTTCTTGTGCCCTTATCCAGATAGACAACTTGTAAGACAGACAGTGGTTCAACTTTACCTGGCTGTTCTGCCCAAAGGCATCCAGATATCAGCTACTGGGGATCCAGGCTGATGTAATTTCATAAAGAAATTCTAATGTCAGGCTGGCTGTGCTGAACTGAGATGATTATAAGATCCAAGAAATTCACACACAACCACAAACACAGCGGATCTAGAGAAACAGTTTACATTTGCTGTGGGAAATGATTTGATTGTATAACTTCCTACTATTCATTTTCAATAGGGAGCCACACTATACAGAATTTATCAGGGGGAATTTAATTATTCAGTAAATTTAGAATCCCAGTACAGAATTGGCTATTTAAAGTTTCACTGCATTGGTTCTGGTTACAAATACTGGATGAATGTTCTGAATGCTTTTTCAAGGTCAGGTAACAAGACTCTTTCTGAAATTCACAGTGAACACAAAGTAGCAGCAATGTCAGAGTAATAAGGAAACATTTTCTTAATGACTTCTGGAAAAGTGAGGGAAATACGTCATGTGTCTGTAAAGAATTGCCTTAGGGCAGCTCTGGTTAATTGTGGTCTCATATTAACTTTTACAAACACTTGGCATTAAGTGCTACTCTATTCTTTTCAAGCAAGATAGCACTGACGTGTAATTAATATTATCATCTGTTCACTTATCAAAGACCTTACGCACATGAAAGATCTGACATGTGGATAAGTGCTTATCATGCTTCTGAACAATACACGCCAATTCTCAGCAATCTCTGAAACGCTACTAGATGTTCAAAACCTAATAAAATGTAATAAATTTCTCAAGAACCTTCTGTGCTCATTTCAATTCTGCTATTTTTGACCTGACTAAGTACAAATAAAGCCATGATTTGTCTACAGGCCCAATCCTGAACTGCCTTCTTACTCAGCCTAATGCTGTTCTTTAATGCAGATTGTGCTCCACTGAGGTCCCCAACTATTTTATCCCTGAGGGCCAAATTCCATCAGCAACAAAAAGCCAAGGTCCACTTGTAGATCTGTAGAAATGTTGAGAAAATCTGTAAAGCAACACTCATCCCAGTTACAATAATTATTGGTATATTATAATAAATAAAAATGCTTATCACTACCATGGGGTGCTACTTCTTGTAATTTTAATTGTCCTTCTGAGGCTCTGGCTGTCTTAACTGGTAATTTAATTTAAAAGGCTTCTCTTGGTATTAATTGGTATGGAAGCTGGAAAAGGAGGATCCTTGATTTAAAGGACAAGTCTTTGTGGTGTTTATGGCTTGATTAATTATTAACCATCCCCTATTTGTCCTCTTTATTGAGGAAGCCTTGTTCCTCGGCCGTTTAAAGTTCTTCGGTTGAACCAATAGGGTAGAGCCAATGGTCATACCCTATGAACAGCCCCAAGTATAAAAGTAGATGCTAAATTGCCGCTGTACACGAAGGGCTTGTGTTTTATAAAATTATTTGTTGGACACGTTGGCACTGATGTTTAAATAAGAAACAGCAACACAGGGTGATTTTTACTGGATGCATAACTGACTGGAGGATTTTAGTGTGTTGCATATTACCGACTGATCCTGACCGACTGAGGGTGTGAAGCACCAAGGTACGATGATGGAGGACTACTCTGCAGCTGGAAGCGAGAGGGTGAACCTGGGATACGATGCGTCCCTTGACGAGCCGCCACACTACGAGGAGTCGTCCTTCTCAGACTCGGCGGGGAACGGCTACATGGCCGGAGACAAGGGCAAAGCCAGGGAGGTTCGACACTCGGTCGTCAGTGCCTTTGGCCACAACACGCTGGACAGGGTGCCCAACATAGACTTCTACCGCAACCCGGGCAGTGTCAGCGGGCACCGTGCAATCCGGCCCTCCCTGCAGGAGCTTCACAGCGTCTTCCAGGTGAGTGTCCATCTGGCAGACACTATACAAAGGTGTGGAAGTTAATTCACCCCCAGCAGGAGAAGGATTGTTATTATTCTAGTGCAGTGTCTCCCAATCCGGTCCTCAGCCAGTCCATGTTTTTGCTCCATCCCAGTTCCCTGCCAGACAGTCCACATTTTTGCTCCCTCCCAGCTCTCTACTGGGACCAGAGAGGGAACAAAAACGTGGACTGTCTGCAGATCCCTGAGGATCAGATTGGGACTGTTCTAGTGCGTCAGGCCACAAATAAACATGTAAGTCTTCTACTTAGCCATAGCTTCAAAAACATAAAATTAACGATATCTGCTGTAGCTAGCTGTACGAATACCAGTGACAGCCTACAGTTAAAATTTAAAGCCTTTTAGTGGAGCGGGATTCCTCTTTCAAGGAAAATTGAAATGAATAGCACCAAGCAACAGAACCCATTCCAAGTCATTCAAGTCTCCATCAGCGCTTCGGATGTTCATATTCAATATAATGAAAAGCTCCACTTAAATCAATGAGAAACAACAATCAGAATATGACTCTGTGTCCTGCCTTTGTCAAGCAGGAGAAGCCTTCATAACGTAAAGCTCTTTGTACCGATTTTTGTGCAATGAGGGAGCAGGTTACTGTAGAAGAAGTATAAACCAAAGCTTCTATTCAATTATTGTTTGAGCAGGTCGGCAGGAGCAGAGAACATAAAGCATGCTGTGCCGTTTTTACTGTAGCAGCTTGTCAGACTGGGCCTCTCTGCTCCTACACCTTGACCGCTGGCACCCGTTAGCGCCAGGAGGTCTGGCATCTTCCAGTAACACGTCTTTGCACCGGTAATGAAGCGGAACAGGCAAGCCAGGCCGAACAGACGACACGCCGATCATCATCGGCCTGCCCGAAATGGGGGTCGCGCTCGGTGACGGACGCCGGCCAGGAAGCCATTTCGTCCGCATTTAGCTGGTGAAAAACGGCTCCTTTGAGCAAATGCATTGATCTGTTTGTCTTTAAATTGAGTAATTAATGGAAATGAGCTCAGAGAACTTAGAGAAAATCAGCAGGTCAGCTGTACCGTTGTGGGGAGGGGTAACACAGCCACAGCAGAAACATGTAATATGCCCAGTCTACAAACTGAACTCGATTCAGCACCTTCTCTTCTCTTCTCTTCTCTTCTCTTCTCTTCTCTTCTCTTGTCTTATGTTAAGATTGAGCATTGCTTGGTGACATTGTTCGTTTATAATTCACCTTCTCCCCCCACAGAATGGTGGACCCATTAATGACGAGACAA